TCAGTGGTTTATAAAGAAAATTGAAAGAGGAACCTCTACATAATGAATTTTCCATATAACGAACTTTTTTTCAGGATTTAGCAACTTCGTTATGTATAGGGAGAGAGAGAGAGAGAGAGAGAGAGAGTATTCCACGAAGTTATGAGATGTATAAATTGTTGGTTTTTATTAATTTATTAAATATTTTTATTAACATCGCACTCAGAAGAAACCCTAGGGCTATTGGCAGCAAAAATCGTAATTTAGAACAATGATCAAATGATGAAAACGAGACTTGAGAAAGCATCCATTCTCCAACATTCCAACACCATACCAACGTAAGAACTTTGAAGCATCATGGGGGGAATATGTTGAAGCCAATTAAATATCCATTTACTTAGTGGTAAGCTGCTTTTCATATGCTAGTAAAAAGGGAAAAAATGAATAAAAAATATATGGTATAAAAAATATAATTCCCCGGAATGTGTTTGGTAAACCATAAAACTTGTGTGTGTGTGCTGTGTTATTTCCTTCTTCTCATCCTTGATAAACATTTTTATATAAATTGTGAATAGATATGTATAAAGATTTATTATTATAAAAAGCTGTGAAATGTTTAGAATTAATAAAGTCAAAATTATTGGAGGAATATTTGATAATCTTTAAACTGTAAAACAAAAAGCTCATTACATTTTCCACTTCGGGAAATGACTGAAAATGTTTCTCGAACGGGAAAACATTTTCAGATAAACAATTAACAGAAAATTTCAGAAAACTAATTAATAACTTTTTAATGGCTGTAAGTTTCCTTGATAAGTATAATAAACTCTGTTTTTGTTTCGATTTTCATAATTACGTACCATTGTTTAAAAATAAGCACTATCAGTGATTAAAATCGAATTCCCTAATCGAGATATATTATCTAAAGAGTTAGGTCAAAAAGTAAAAGTTAGCTTAAGAGAGAAACTCTGAAAAATATTATTCCTAAAGATAAATTATGGAAAAATCGCAACAGTTTTGAGTTTTGAAGTGAATTTCACGAAAAATGGAAGTTTCACCTGCCGCAAATTATTGCAATATGAAAAAAAAATTAATTTAGTTAAAATAATTTATGTTGAAAGCCTTATCTCATGAAAATTTACTATCACATTTTATTTCAAATATATATATATATATATACATATATATATATATATATATATATATATATATATATATATATATATATATATATATATATATATATATATATATATATATATATATATATATATATATATATTTTTTTATATATTTTTTTAGAGGTATAGAACTTTAAATTGCAATAAAACGACGATGTATTATTCGATTGACATGAATTTTTTTTTATTCGAAAGATAATCTTGTGGCATTACATTTTAAATATGATTTCTGGCATAGGACTGACTGCCAAGGCTGGCTCGGATGTAGTCCAATTTTCGATGACTTTTTCCAACATTTGTGGCCGTATATCGGCAATAACACGGTGAATGTTGTCTTCCAAATGGTCAAGCGTTTGTGGCTTATCCACATAGACCAATGACTTAACATAGCCCCACAGAAAATAGTCTAGCGGTGTTAAATCACAAGATCTTGGAGGCCAATTCACAGGTCCAAAACTTGAAATTAGGAGGTCACCAAACGTGTCTTTCAATAAATCGATTGTGGCACGAGCTGTGTGACATGTTGCGCCGTCTTGTTGGAACCACAGTTCCTGGACATCATGATTGTTCAATTCAGGAATGAAAAAGTTAGTAATCATGGCTCTATACCGATCACCATTGACTGTAACGTTGTGGCCTTCATCGTTTTTTTGAAGAAGGATTCCACAGCCATAAAGCGCACCAAACAGTCAGTTTTTCTGGATGTAACGGTGTTTCGACATACACTTGTTAATTAGCCTCACTCCAAATGTGGCAGTTTTGTTTATTGACGTAGCCATTCAACCAGAAGTGCGCTTCATCACTAAACAAAATTCGCTTATGAAAATCGGGAACAATGGCAATCTCGTTTTGGGCCCATTCGACGAATCTACGCCTTGCTTCATGATCGTTATGATGAATTGCCAAACCAAACTGAGAATAAATCACTTGACAGCTGTTAAATCGGTCGCCATCTGGGAAAGTAATGCCAACTTAAACTTCTATACCTGAAAAAAAAACACTCTTTATAATTAGATAAATTAATTTGAACAAAAACATTTTAACCCCTTAAGTGGTTTACCCGTACATTGTACGGGTTACCGGAAGCTGTCCACAACTGGTTTACCTGTACACTGCACGCGGGTACTAATATTTCCTTCATTCTATCTTTGATTTGCACATATTTTTAATTCTTATAGTGATGTTATTATTGCTAATGTTTTTAAGAGATGTAGTTTGTTCATGATACCGAAAAACTTCTCATCCAGGATTTTCTTTGAGGGGAAGGCGGGAATTTTTCATTGAAGGCAGAAATTTAGATTCTTGAAAATATTCGAAAAAAAAAAACAGGGATTGGCAAGGCAACGCGCAATTTGTTGCTTAATAAGAATTGAAAATGGAAAGATAATCCAAAAAAGCCAATATTATGTCTCTCCCAATTGCAATGTAAGACTTAATATTAAACCATACTTAATGCTGTGTGGGCATATATACACGCACACAAAATCGTCAACCATTAAAAAAAGGGGGTACGAACATGAAATGGTTTTGTAAGTATAGGATAAATTCTTATTAAGATACACGTGAAAAACGTTCTTCAAATCATGCTAAGTGTATTTAGATGTTTAGGGGATGTTTAAAGCAAATGTTTAGGGGGGTTTGTATTCCACAATTATAAAATAAGTAGCGAGAAAACTAAAATTGAAAATTAAAATAAAATTCTTCCATTTTCGCATTCTCTAAAGTATTATAATTAGATATATGCAATAAAAAATGTGCCTTTTTTAACATCTGGACAAAGAAATTGACCATTTAAGAGGTTAAAGTAAAATATTTGAGGTTTGTATAACAGAAAATAAATAATGTTTGCTATCCAATGCAATCTTCAACTCCAGTTTCTATAAATAAAAACAACCTGTTTTTAAAAAATGTTATAAGTATGTTTACAGTATAGGGGTAAAAAAATATTATAATTTTTTTTTCTGTTGCCCATATTTTTAACTTCTTTGTTGTATTTCATAAATTTCTTGAAAAACTTTTTTCAAGTGTTCTGTCAAATGATTCTATCAATTGTTTAATATTCAGAGAAATATTTCAAAAATTCTTTCCATAAAAAAACTTACGTAGTCTGTTTCTGGTCCAGCAATTTTACAGAACTTCACAAATAAAAGCAATTCGAGCACTTATTGGAAAATCCTTTATAATAATGTATGGACTCTTTCAATAACACTGCATGATAAATAAAACCGATATCAGCGTCTATTTCAAATCCACGACAAAATAAGCAAAATAAAATGTTTGAAGTATTTTGATTCTTTTCCCATTCAAAAAATAAGTTTAAATATTGAATTAGAGAATTAAAGCTAAACAAGTACTTATGCATTTGCTTTTGAATTTATTTCCGAAAAATTCGATTCAACAATCAACTTTTCGCATTCCCATTAAGCTTTTTTTATTTTTACATTATATCAATACATTTTGGAAAGGTAAAATATCTTTGTGATTTCTTTCTTTTACGATAAAATAGATTCACAGACTAATATTATGAAGTCTGCTTCCAAATTTGATATGCTAAAAATTGCTTAACTAGTTTCTCGAATTTTAAAGTAATCTTTTATAGTAAAAATATATAAAAATCAGTCCACGAGTAACTATATTGAGAATAAATAAATCTTCCAATTATTTCGATTGACATTTAATTGGATCATCGAGGAAAAACAAGATATAAATTTGAAAATAACTGATCATTAAAGTTTTTCATATAAATAGAATTTTTTATAAAATAGATTTTTGTAAAAAAAGGTTTTTTTATAAAATAATTTTTTATATAATAGAAATTTTTTAAGAAACCATTTTTATCTAATTTTCCACCTTTTCTAAAGTAAATTTTTGAACCGAAGTTACTTTAGGTTTTCTTTTTTTGCTACGTAGTACCTTTTCTAAAAATCATTCTATCCATTTTATTGATATATTTTTAAATTTCAAAATTTTCTTTTTACAGACGTGACTTTATAAGTTTTTACATTTAAAAAGAATACAAAACATAATTGTTATGGAATGGGAAGGAAGTAAACAAGTTATTGAATGAGGAGGAGGTAAACAAGTTTATATAAGTTTTCTATGATACTTGAGGCCTCAGTACTTAAGAATCTGAATATAAAACTAAGGTTTATATTTATGAATATGCTTTTAATGGACAAGACTTAACGTTAAGCACTTTTCATACTTAACTAATAATAAATAAACACAACTGAAGCACTAGAAATCTATTTAATTTTTTAAAAAAACTATTCCTTTTATGCAAATTTATGTAAATATACAGGAAAAGGAAAACAATATTTAATGAGTCTCAGTACAATATTTTTATATTTTTCTTTAAACTAACATATCACATAAAAAGATCATAATAGTTCATGATGAGTATATTAAAGATGCTATTAGTGAAATACTCTCATTATGGATACGATATTCAAGCCTATAATGTGTGTTTGATCTATAAAAAATAAATAAAAAAAATTCCTCAAGTATATTTCCTCAAAGCATGGTACAGTACCACTAAAGACCCGCCGTGTAGGGCAGCGATGCACGTTAAATCTGTCGAGAGCTGAAACGTCCTCCCGTTGGTGTGGTGTGGTAGTTAGGAGAGGGGGTGCCAGCTCAGGTGTCGTCCACGTCACTTGACCAGGGTTCAAAATTACGTGGTCCGTGGCCAAAAGCCCTCGTGTAGCTGAACAGTGCGACGTTAATATTCAATCAATCAATCAATCAATCAATCAATCAATCAAAGCATGGTATCTCAATGTCGCTTAAAATTTAACCTTAAGAAATTTATTTATTTATAAATTACTTCCTTCTTAAGTCACCCAGCTAGTATGGTGGTTATGTACCTCGGCTTGTAACCGAGTGGGTTTGGGTTCGAATCCCCAGTAAGATATGGTTGTATCTTCTTAGGAAAAGAAGTCGGTCTTTCGCCTGTAATGGATTCCCGTCTCAAAAGGAAAGCAGCGCACCCCTTCTTGTCACATGCTTGGATCATCATCTGTAATAAATGTGTATATTTTTCTGTTGTATTGCATGTTTTCTATTCTTCTTCACTTATATTAAATATGTTCCCAGGATAAAAATAACACTCGTCAACAACAACAGCTTTCTTCTTAAAGTATCCGACTGTGTTCGAAATTGTGATTTTGCAAAAGTGTACAAACGGATATATTTTTTTAATATTTAGTGTCCTTTATATTATAATGCTCACACAAAATTGTTTTTAGAATATTATTAGGAAAAAAAATTATTTTAATACAATACTTTGGTGAAAAACGAACTTAGAATTACATATTTTCAAAACATTCTTCTTTTATAAAAAAAAATGCTTCTATGATAATAATATGTTGTCTATATGCTGCTCAGACCTCTATACAGAGCCTGAAATAGGATTCTTGAAATATTTAACTTAGAAGATTTATCCGCATTTTAATACATCAGGATGAAAGGTTTTTAGCAAAAAAGAAAAAAGATTATTATTTCAATTGGTAATAACTTCAAAAATAATGCGGATTTTTCAAAACTCCTAGTTCAGGCTCTCTAGGAATGTTTAAACTATATATAGACAAAATATTTTTTATTATAGAAGCATTTTTTGTAAAAGGAGAATGTTTTGAAAATTAGGTAACTTTATGCTCCTTTTTTGCCAAAATATTGTATTTAAATATTTTTTCTAATAATATTCTTTAAATAATTTAATACGTGTATTTTAATCTAAGTGACACTAAATATTGAAAAATATTCGTTTGTACACTTTTGAAAAATCACGACTCCGAACATTGTCGGATACCACATACTTCTAACATTTGCACACATTTTTATGAGTAATGCATCAATTTACCTCCTGCGTCACAACATTTCTTCTTGTAGTTTATTAATCCTTCTTACTTTTCTAATACATATTTCTAAATTTTACTCTGCAAAAACCAAAAAGAGTTCGATAAAATGTATCTCTTTATCACTTCGTAAGCAGAATAATTTAGAAAAATCTATATTCTAAACATATAGATTTTCCTATAAAAGGTACTCTCAACTTATTCGTATTTAATCGCTTAAATGTGCCTTTTATAGAAAAATCTATATTAATTTGTGAGTAACATAGATTTTTCTATGAAAGGTATTTTAATGTTATTACCTAATGTTAAAACGTTTACTCATTGAAATTAGTGAATTCAAACGAGTTTTTTAAGAAATATCAATCATTGAAACTTAGGATTTATATATGCTCAAATTTAACTTTTTACCTAAATGGTATTTATGCTTTTGACTTTGAAAATATTTCTGGGTTCTTAAAAATAATAAACTAAAAACAGAAAAAAAATTGTATTATTTATTTTAGATATATACAACAGTTTATTTATTCGATCATCTTTCTGAACCAAATACAAATTAAAATATTAAATAAATTATATAGCAATTTTAAAAAATTTCTCAATAATTAAAATCGATGTTCCTCATTAATCTCCCATTTCTTAAAGAATGTTTCAAATCTACAATAACTTATTTTTTTAACTTTGAAGCTAAATAATTTATTTGTAATACTTTATTTGCGAAATTTTCAAACTAGCTAAGCTAAACTATCTGAAGCTAAGGCTTTGTTAATTTGACCGTTTATCTCTTCATTAGTAACTCTGGCATTCTACAAATAGCCCATTTTCTGCACGAGTGTTGCACTATTGCTTATATTTTAGCATGCAGCATAAATAAACCAACTTCGAGTTATGTACAATATCAAGAATTCAAAGCAATACAGCACAGTAAATCTTTGCAATGACAAAATCAGAAGCAGTATTTTACAAAATGTTCAAGGGAAAACATGGTGCAATATTTCGCTAACGCATATTTTCAGATCAGGGAATATTCATCAAGGTACATGCAATCTAAGATTCGATTTATTCACCTATGGTTGTGAAAAGGTGTTTTTTTTTCAATTCCTCTGCTATTAGTTCATACTCTCTCTCTCTCTATATTTATTTATATACATCTTGTTCAAATTTTCAATCGTTAATAAAATACTTTTTATTCATCCACTCACGTTCAAATACATATTTTTAAACTTTTAGTGGACGGCACTTGAGGTTATACAGTTTTTTCAAATAATAATTCATTAATTAAATTTAATTAATTAATTATAGTTTTGTATGGGAGAGAAATTATATTTGTTCCGAATGAAGGCAATAGATGGCGACAGTATGCATTGATTATCCAACTACCTCTGGTATCCAACTACCAGATATGGAACGAAGAAAACGTTCTTGGCCTCTGTATTTAATGTTACGCAAAGGTAGATACAAAACATGAATAATCTCTGATGAACTACTGTTTCATCTGTCATTCACAACTGTCAAATTGAATATTCTATATATTTCAAGCAAAAATGCCGCAAAGACGCAGCTGTTTTGAAAAATACAAGTTGTCCGTCAGGTGTTATGATATGGACGGAAATGTCCTCTTAAGGCTTAAAAAAACAATTTTTTGTAGAACCAAACTTTAAAATTGATGATAAATACTATCAGAATAAAGTTTTGAAATACTTAATCTAAAAAAGTAAATGTCTTTACCCTCAAGGAAACTTTGTTTTTCACCATGATTTTGCATTAAGTCATACTGTAAAATCAACTATAAAAATGGCTGAAAGATTAAAAATGAATTTTCTGCCTCTTAATAAATGACTATCACTATCCCCTGTCTATGTTCCTTGCTATTGGAGCTTCTAAAAAAACAATTAAATAGACTTAATGTAAAAACATTTCAAGGGCTTCAAAAGCAATTTAAGAGGGAGGTGGAAAAATTCCCCGAAAATGATCGAAAAAACTCTTTTAGCTTAGCCAAAACGATTTCGAAAGGTGTACTGTTCTAGAAGAAACCGCATTGAAAATCCCATGTAAATAACTTTATTCAATAAAAATTTATGTTGCTCTGAAAATGGTCACATAATTCTTGAATCAACCTGTCATAAATATCAGTGTGTTATTTGTAATCACTCGCGCATAAAGAACAACAGAATGCAATTCATTTACTAATAGAAACAAAAGGAACTTTATTATACCTTAAAGTATAGTTTTTTGTATTCGTGCATAACTCAACCATGATTTACTATTATTACTTCGCTTAAAAAATTAAAATTATAAATGCTGAATTCGATCCGCAGTAGATATACCCTAATGACTTACAACCATTATCTATATCAATGTAGATGTGTGTGCATCAGTTTTCCGTCAAGGAATGCATATTTTATTGCTTGTTTACAACAAACAATTGTTGCGAGGGGAAGCATTTTTGTCCTGTCTTCAGAACTAATGTATTAGTGAAGAGTGGAATCCACCAGCTACTTCAATTCCATTAGATTTCCGGCTGTCGCCCGCTTAGGTGTAAAATGTTGATACGTGAGCGGAATTTCGACCAAATAATGACATGCAATGGATATTATTAAGCAACTATGACGTGACACCAGCAGCAACCAATAGCTATTAAATCGAGCTCTAGCCTTGGCTTTACCCGCCCTTCAATTACATCCAAACTGGGGGACAACTATTACAACACGAAATGTTGGAAGGGAGGTAGGAGGGCATAGTCTAGAACATTTATTTCTTCGACTAGGATTGAAATCACGTATATCTATTCAGTTAAATTTTCTAAGCACTTAAAGAGAGAAATGCCTCTCTTCGATGACTCAATGTTAATGAATACTTTATAAACTGGACATTTTCAAATGTAATTCGTACGGTATTTTTGGATGTTTCTATCGTTTAGAACAAATATTGAACGAAGTGTTTCGCTGATAAAATGCAACGGTTGGCTGCCAGCCAATCACCTATTCAATTTTCAGTTAAGTATGCTGTAACTATTTGGTGTGTTGGTCAACGCATGCAAAAAGATAATTTTATAATTGAAATAGGGATACAATTCTACTGAAGCTTCTATTATGCAAATGAAAGATATTATTGAAAAAAAAACTTTTATTCAAATAGCTTTAGCTCTAAGAATATAATTTCATTCATGAAAAGATATTTTTAGTTGAAAGAAAACTTTTCACTCCATCAATCTTTCAAAAAGATTAAATGTAATTTAGTTTCCCATTATATCCTACAATCATCAAATGTACTGAATAGTGATAAGAAATTTAGAGCATAGTTAGGCTAAGTTCCAGCCATTTAAAGGAAATATTTAGACAAGTTATGCCAAGAATTCTAATTAACACAGAAAGATAAACATAAGGAAATAGATTCGAATCCTTATGTCTAAAATATAGAGACAATATTATTCTGATGAAATTATTCATTCAATTTTAAATATAAAATGGAAACGTGTTAGAAATCAATTATACATTATTTTACCTAATTCTCGGAATTTTTCATACCTTTGGTAAGACCTTCTGTAAGTAAAGAAAAATATCTCGTAACATCTGTGACAAAACTCTAATTCTCATGATTTAAAATCAATGCCATAAATTAAGTTATTTAAGTTGTTTTTAATTAGATTTTTGCAATAAAGCATCTAACTAAAATTAAAAAAATGAAATTTTCTCAAACATTTAAATGTGTTTTAATTTTCTCATTTAGGACGGAAATTAGTTTAAAATGTACTCGAAAAAGCTTAATTTTAATACTTTAATCCTATTTTGAAATCCCATCTTTGAATTAGAAAAAAATTTCATTGACACTGCATTACGCGTTTGTCTTGGAATTACCAAAGCTGTTCATGAGCTAACATGACACGCAATACGTATAGATACAGTGAATTCATTAAATTATATGTTCTTTATCAGCAAAAGGAAGAAATAATTTAACATTTTCTCATTTAACATATATCGTTATTTTAATTCAGTGTTTTAATATTTATTAATTAGTTTTTTTCCTGAAATGTAATTAAAGTTATATTTTATTTTTAAGA